CGAGGCATTACACACACAGGAATGGACGAGGTTCCCTGCGGGTATATGCCAGACAGGCGCACCCACACATCCACACATGGAGCATGCCTTAGAAAGCTTTTCTGGGTGGAATCACAAGAAAATGTCAACAGTTGTTTCCTCTGGGAGAGGAGCGGCTCTCGCTTCCTTTGATGCCAGAGTGTTAAAGAGAAGTTCTCCCCAGCAGCACTTGAGCATGCCTCCTGAAGAGTGAGCCGTTGCCACCCTAACAGTCATCCAATACTGCGTACACAGTTGCCAGCTGTCCTCAAAGTGCCTTCCCGCTCATCTGTCTAGCCCTAGGCCACCCCAGGACCCCGAGTTGCATCTGCTTGTCCCGTCCCCTTGGTGGCATTGCAGCCAGTTCCCTTTTTCTCTGGACCCTGCTGTGCAGGAGACCGACAGTTGCCTTGCAGCATCCCTGGGGCGGGGGTTGCTCATGGCTGCCTTGTGCAGGGTTTGCTCAGTTCTCGTTCTACACTTGTGTGAGCTGGGAAACAGATCCAGGGTCTGGATTGGAATCAAGTTAGAGGTGTTGCCAGGAGTATCATGGGTGGTGGGACGATGTCATGTGACAGGCAGGGGTTGGCTGTCGCACCAGGTGTCTTCGGTTTGTCCCTCTGTTGTGCAGTCAGACCCCCTGGCAGCCTGAGCGGGAGCTGGGTGATGCTACTTTGCTACACTCTCATCTTGTGCCCCTTGGGCCTTCCCCCGTGGATTTATATCTTTTTTCTCTTTTCATTTTACCTGGGGCAATCGGAATGTACTTTTTGGTAATTTGCCTCATTAAACTCAAAGCAGTCTTTCCTGCTCCTCCCTGTGAAGTGGTAGTGCGGCCTGGAGCTTCTCCCAGGGGGAGCGGATGTAGAAGCCTCGCTCAGGCCCAGCCAAGGGCGAGGGCAGGGTGTCCTCACAGCAAGGGTCCTGGCACAGGAAATGGCCTGTAAACTGCAGGCAGGTGCTGCCCTGTGGAGGAAGGCTGCACGGGCACTTCGCTGCAGTTTAGTCACAGGAAGGAACTTAGCTGGACTGGGAACCGTCACTAGAGGCAGATGCTGGCTGTGGGCTCGGTGTGGGCTCCCAACCCCCCTCCCCCCTCAAAGGACCACAGCAGCAGAAAGAGGAGGTAGAGACCACAGCCTCTGTCCCCATGAAGGCCTGGGCCACCACAGTTACCCATTTGTGGCTCTGCTATGTGAGATAGAAGTTGGGGTGCCCAAAAGAGCTCTGGTCCCCAGGGTCTGGTGGTCATGGGGTGGGCAGAGAGCAGTGCCAGGCCAGGTGCATCCTCCGGGGAGAGCCCGCTGTGTCAGAGGCACTCCTGACCCTTCCACAAGCCCCACTGGTCTCGGTCTCACAGAGGAAGGAGCCCAGAGAGGTCAGGCTGTGTGCAGGTGGTCTCACTGCTAGTGAATGGTGGTGACAGGATTCGAACCCTGGTCAGCTGAGGGGCACAGGGCCATGAGTGGTGGCAGCAGTGCTTGAGTCCAGTTAGGTCTTCTCGGGCCCCTGAGGCCTGGCAAAATGTCTTGTGTGCCTGTGTGTCCAGCTTCAACTGGGGACACATGGACTTGAGCCCCTCGGCCTGCAGGAGGCCCACATGACTGAGAGCTTTACCTGAGTCATGCTGTCGCCTCAAAGAGCCATTTGACAGCAAAGTCACGTCCCACCGTGTCTGTTCTCACAAATCAGCGCGTGATTGTAGAAGCTGCAGTCTCTCCAGGAAATGGCGAAGCCTGGCCATGAGAAGCAGCAGCTCCTGTCTCGCTTACCTGGACTGCTTTGTCTTCTTCCTTCAGAATGACCCCGACCTGGGCAGCGGAAGCTTCTCTCTCAGGACATCTTCCGGGCTCTGTTTGGGGAGCAGCTTTGGGCGCGAGGGCCTTCCCGCAGCACAGGGCCTGCAGGCCCTGGGAGGGCCGTGTCTCCTGCCCTGGGGGCCTCTGCGCTGTGCTTTCAGGGGAATGGGGCCTCTTCCGGCTCCCTGCCCACCTCTCCCCCAGGCACCACCCTGGGGAGGACAAAAGTGCGGCCTGTGCCGATAACTCTCTGGCTTTGAGCTCTTCCAGGCGGGATCTTAGCGGCAGGAGAAGGGCGATGGCGCACTTGCGCTCCTGCCGTGATTCACTCACCATGATGGCAAGTGCTGTTCTCCTTCCATAGGCGCTGGCTGAGCAAGCACTTGGCTCACCCAAGAGTGGGCAGTTCTCAGGCACTTGATTTTCCCACGGGTCCCTGTGAGGTGTGGACCTTCAGATCCTCAGAGTAGGCTCAGGGCCACACTCAGGTCGTCAGAGGAGTCCATTCAGACCCATCTCACAACCATGTCTGTGTTCACCGTCACATACACGGGCACAGAGGCCCTTCATGGGGCCAAGATGCTGTCACTAATGCAGAAACATCTCTGTTGGAACCCTCCTCACAGCTGAGACCTGTGTGAGCGCAGCTGATGCTCAGAGCCAGCGGCTGGGGATCTGCCACCGGCGGAGCTGAGAGCTTGTCCTCCGTTCATAAAAGCCGCCGCAGTGAGGGGATGCCCTTTGTCTTTCGTTTCCTCATTGATGTGGCGAGCTATTTCCGTGTGGCGGCTGTGCATCTTTCTAACAGCGTCACTCTTGGTAGACGAAGCAGGTGCATTTGCATCTGAAGCCAGCCTGGCCTCGCAGATGTGCTGAAAGGCGCCCAGGACGGGAGGCCCCTTGCTCTGGGAGGGCACTGTTCGGAGCCCTCGCCCATTCATCCCGTGCGGAGTCAGCCGTGGCGCTGCTGCCAACGCTGCTTTCCCTGCCAAGATGGGGCTGTGCTCTGAGCACTGTTGGGGATGTGAGCTAGGATATGAGGCCTTCTTTCTTCACTCATCATTTCTATTTGGTAGTAAATGAAGGGTGTCAGATGCACTGTGTTGGTTTCAAATGGAGTGCTTTGTGAAGCAAGCCTGGGAGATTCTTTATCAAGAAAGAGGCTGGGAACAGGCAGTCTGAGTGGTTGGTGGTCTGGACAGAAGAGTCGCATTCAGTCCAGTAGAATCCCCCAGAACTGTCTCTCCGATGCCTCCGGAACTGTCCCCCACAAGCGCCCCCCGAAGCATCTGGCTGTTTCTCCCAATTGGATGGAGATGGCTCTGCTCCCTGAGCACAATAAAGCCCTAACACAAGTGCTGTAAGGGGCTAAGGGATGTTTGAGAGCAAAATATGTATTTTTGTTTTGGTATATTATTAAGAAATCAAATTATCCAGATGGATGTGAGGACATTTGGATGCCATCTAGCTTTATTTCTGGTAAAATATCGTGGTGATGCATTAGGCGGGGATTCGACTTGATTTTATCTAGAAGTATCTTTTTTTTATAATGGCAGCATTTTTTGGATGGTTCTTTGGTTGATAATAAATCATAGCAAACACCACTGACTTGTTCTGAATGAAATCTTGCCGATGTATATTTTATGTGTTTTTCTTAATTGTGTGACAAAGCCACGCCACTTAGCGTCTCCTAGCCTGCTCTACTCCAGCCTCTGCCCCGAGCAGCCCCAGCCTCACCTGGTTCTTCTGTGGATTCCGCCACGACCCCAACTGTACCCAGCCTGCTTCTCCTGTTTATTCACTGCAGCCAGAACCCAGCCATCTAGAAACCTCATCTGTCAGAAATCATTCCCCACCTCTTACTTTCTCCCAGAGGCAGGTCCTGAGTGCTGAGTTAAGATTGGAAATTTAGGCAAAAGCAGGATTTTGGTGAATCCTGATGATTGGGTTTGTTAGAGTGGACGCAAGGAAAGAAGGAGCAAACTAATACACAATGAAAGCATTGTCAAACAATTACCATCAGCCATGAAGCTGAATTCTCTACCTCTATCTGTCCATCCACGTGCATGCAGCATCTATCCACTCAATGGCTATTTATTTGCCAGCTGCTCTGTCAACCCTTATTAGTTGAAGTAATAGTGAGAAGGCAGGCCTGGGGCTTCCCCAGGTAGTGTGTCTTCTGGCATTTACCTACCCGAATACCGAAGGGGGCGAGTGCCAGGAGAGAGGAGGTGCTGACCAGCCCCAGCGGGAGCACAGTCCTGGAAGCCCTGACACGGGAAGCTGAGCTCTGAGACCTGAGTGGGGGGAGCGGGGGGGCTGAGGAGCCGCACGCGCGGAGGCCCAGAGGGAGGCAGGTGCAGAACCATCCATGGCAGGGGTTCCAGTCCTCTCTCAGACGGCAGGCCTCCCTTGGAGAATTTCAGAGCAGTGTGGATCCTGTCCGGGGGGGGGGAGGACAGAGATGGGCGCACACGTGGGCACATGCTCCCAGAGCTTTGTATCTAATTTCTGGAGGCACTGAGACTCCCTGACGCACAGACAACGTGGTAGCCTGAGCACCCCAGAGTTGCTTATTTCCAAGGAGGCTAGCCTCACACATGTCTTTCCTTGGGCTTTGTCACACCAGCTAGGAACTGTCTCATCCCGTCAATAAAAGCTGTCTTTCTAGGAGCTGCTTACAGGAGTATAAGGAGCATATGCTTGATTTTTTTCAAGTCCGTACACAGTTTCACTTAAAAACAAAAGTTTGCAGGGTGACTGCAGAAATGTTTGGCTGTCATTGTCCATGACCCTGAAAGCCATGAGCTACAAAGTGAGATTCTCATGCTGGGCCGTCTCAGTGGCGCTCTGGTCCATGGGTGCCCTGCCCTTGGGTGATGCTCTCCGATCAGCTTTTCAGGAGCTGTACTCTCCATCTTACAAAACGAGTTCCGCCCGAAGCAGGGCAGCTCTGCTGTGCAGGCTGAGGGCTGGGCGTGTGCCCGAGGCATCTTCTCTCAGTTGTCGCCACGTGGCAGCTGTGAAACCACATCTGACATTACTTGATTTAACCTTGAAGTGTTTGCAAACCGCTCCGGCCCCGTATTGTTGGGCACTGCCAGACCGTGTGGGTGTGAGTGGGGTGGGTGTGATTTGCCTGGGTACCTACTGAGCATGAACTGTGCTTTGCCTTTCCCACAGCCACTTCCCCTCGGGTGTCCTCTGAGCTGGAGCAGGCCCGGCCCCAGACTAGCGGAGAAGAGGAACTGCAGCTGCAGCTGGCGCTTGCCATGAGCAGAGAAGTAGCTGAGCAGGTTGTGCCCAGGGCCACCGTGTGCTGCCCTGTGCCGGGGGGCAGGGACCCCAGGGGGAACAAACGCCTGCCCTGTCCCCCCCGCTCTGGGAATGACATATGTTGCCACCTGTGTGTTCTGTCACCTCCTGCCCCAGTCAGGGAGGGTCCTACGCAGTCACATTTAGGAAAGGTCTTCAGGGAAGGAAGGCTTTGCCAAGGGACAAACCAGGCAAAAGTGCTTCCCAGAAACCCTTTTGCCGACATGGCCACGCCTCACGGGCTCGCTCTGCACAGGCTGAGTGCCCACGCTGTCCTCGACGCTGGTGTGTGGGCTCACAACGGCGTAGCCCTGGGAAGGCTGGTGAGACGAACCAACAGCATCTGAGCGCTGGAAAAAGGAAAAATACTACAGACAGTTAGATGGAAGGACAGGTGGATCTTCTGGGCCCATTTTACTTAATAGCATGTCTATGACTTGTTATATTTATAAAAAAAAGTAACGGATTTATTTACTAATATTTAATCATTTAAAAGCTAAGATGACCCAGTCTTTTGGGTATGGTGGCTATAATGAATTATTTTTGTTAGAAAGCATAGAAAATAAACAGTCATTTCTAGAGGTATACACAGTGGGAGGGGGACAATATGTGATTTTCCTCTTGAATTCCTTTCTGGATTGTCGGATTTTCTACTTTCATAAGCTGACCTATTGCTGCTATGTTTGGAATTATAAAGCCATTTTCATTTTGAGAAAAAACACTTGATAATAAGTATTCCCTTTCCCCAATTTGTGGTGCCTGTGCCCCAGTCTCCCTGGGACCCCAGGGCGGGTGGGGTGAGCAGGGAGTCACCGAAGAGGCACTGTGTCCTGCAGGCTGTTTCCGAGTCCTCTTTGAAACAGCACAGGATACAATCTCGGTTTCCTGGTCTGGCCCGGTGGCTTTGTTCTGTAGAGTGATGTCATTGCAGTTACCCCAGCCTCAAGGTCATTGTCCTCTCCAGGAAGAGCGCCTCCGGCGGGGTGATGACCTCAGACTGCAGATGGCCCTGGAAGAAAGCCGGAGAGACACCGTTAAAGTTCCAAAGAAGCAGGAGGTGAGTGCTTCGCTAGAAGGCGAGCGTGGAGACTGCCGCAGTAGTTTTGCTGAAGGGCCCAACCCACCCGCAGTGCA